GGGGGGGGGGGGGGGGGGAACACAAGGCATTCTCCACGACAACGGGCAACCACCCATGAGAGACGCGCGGAGCCCCTGACGGTAACGGGGGCCGGGCTGGGAGCAGCACCCCACACCGCTCCCACGAGGTCCGCACACACGTTCTTGAGATTCATTCCATGACCATCCACATTTTAGGAAGAAGAAAACTAAGCCAGCTTTCTGTGGAAAGTGGACTGGGTTGGACAGTGTCTCCCCAAAACCTGTGAATGCGACCTGATTTGGAAGTGGGGTCTCTGCAGATGTAATCAAGTTAGGACGAAGTCACAAACAGGAATGGGGTGGGCTCTAAATCCAGCATGACTGGCGTCTGCATGAAAGTACGAGATCTGGATCAGAGACACAGAGAGGGGAAAAGTCACGTGAAGATGGAGGCACAGATTCGAGTGATTCGGTTACAAGCAAGGAATGCCAAAAACTGCTGCCACCACCAAAGGCTGAAAGAGACAGGGACAGACTCTCCCCAGAGCCTTCAGAAGGAGCATGGCCCTGCTGACACCTTGACTCTGGACTTCTGGCCTCAAGAACTGTGAGAGAGAAGAAAAATCTCCGCGACTTTACGCCCCCAGTTGGTGGTAGTTAGTCACAGCAGCCCCAGGACTGGAAGCCCCGCGCTGTGAGACTCCAGGAGCAGCACCCGGGCGCTCACCACCCGCATTCGGTCTAGCAGCCGCCCCGTTACACCTCCTACACCTTTCTCCTCTTTTCACCTTCAGATCTAAACCCCTATGTTTATGCCAACTTTTATTTGTTCTCTAAAGATCTTTTTCAAATCCTCCACAATTACAGCTTCGCAACATTCCCATAGCGGGGGGCGGGGGGAATGGGCAAAATGTACCAGGGCTCTTTCTGTGTTGTTTCTTATAACTACACGTGCATCTACAATTATCTCCCCCCAAACCTGCAATCTGGTATTTTCTGGGCTTCTAACTGAGCTCCATATTATGAATCTAACTCCAAATTTTTTTTTCTTAAATAGTTGCTTAGTACCACCAAGGTTTGACCACCATGGTTCACTGATCCAAGGAACAAAAGCCAGAGCACCAGAAGGTTCTTGGTGCCTATTAATAGGCACCAAGAACGGTAAATACCCACTGGCACAGAGATTAGGGAACAGAACACACAGGCCCTGAATTATTTAGGGTGGGGTGGGGGGAAGCCAGGCTAAAGAAAACCCTTGAGCTAGAACTTAAAGGTCACCTATGGTTCATCTTTCTTCCAAATATCACCTAAAATATCCATTCCCAAAAATCCTCATGAAAATACAGACTTTAAACAGCCACTGGAGATCACAATCTCTCTTGGCATCTTCTGGGGGAACCAAATGGTACGTACCTTCCATTTTACTGTGAAGAAAAACAACCCCAACAAATCACCACCAGGACAGCGAGTCTGGGAAGGAGATGATGCCGCTCTGCTCAGCTGTGAAGGACCCGTGCCACAATCACACTTGGCGTACACTCTGCCGAAACACTCGCTCTGGCAGGGGTTCAACAAAGCATTCTGGACTCTTCTACAAAAACCCCGAAGACTCACACAACCTGCTGGCCAGTGTTTTAAACGTGCAAATCAAACAGCAATTTCCATGGAAATCAAAGAAAATTCCACCCATAATTGTGCCATGAACCACTTTAACTTCACATGTTCCCATTCCAGCCCCTGACCATAGACACGGTCAATGTTTATATAGCTATTTTTGTGTATTCTGCTCTTATCTCATTTCTTACAGTCTTCATGTTTCTATACCACTCAACTAACATTTTAACAGTTGCATAATATTTCACTAACTTGATACACCAACAATTTATAATTGTGTCTACTGAATGGAGAGGTTAAATGTTTTTTTAAATTATTTTCTTATGGTGAATAAATCTACAATGAACTTTTCATGCACACAGATTTTTTACTATTTTAAATTAATTTTGAGGATGAAACTCCAGGACCCTCCAAAGGGCACTAACATTCTATCTGGTTCCTAACCTGCCTTCCAAGCTGCATCTCCTGAGTCACACCCCCCTTCACAGCCACACACTGACATCTCGTCTTCCTTTGAAATCAGCAGTTCTTTGATGCCTGTCGAGGCGGTGTTCTCCCATATCAGGCTGTGCCCTGTGATGTTAATTATCCATTCATGACACCTGCTCATTAATCACATCTTTGATGTTTTTTAATCAACTGTGTAAGAGCTTTACTTTGGCTCTCTTACACGTAACAGCTGTAAACACTACTCCTCCATTCTGTTGCCTCTTTTCATCTGAACTATGCTATTTTTATTTTATAGCAATTATTACTTCCAATAAAAGTATCATTTGTAATAAAATCAAATTCATTTTTCCTTTGTCATTTTCTTATTAAGGCTTAGAAAGTTATGACTCGTTAACAATCTGACAGTCAATCCTATTTTTGGTCAAATGGCTTTTTAAAATAGTCAACCCATTATTCATCTGCTGTTTAGAGTATGTTGGAGCATGGTGTGAAGTGTTTATCTTATTTCTAGTGGTAGCGATCTGTGTGTATGTAAGTGGTCCAACGATACGCTATCCAGTTCTGTTTACTCCTGCCCTACTTGGCAGGAGGAGGCCCAGGGAAAAGCCCTGGCTTCCTTCCATTCAGGAGAGTCAAGTCCTAAGTGGGACACCTGGTCACCATGCCACCTTAGGAAAGTCATCTGCTCCTCTGTGACTAAATTTTCTTATCCCTAAAACAGGCAAAAAGTCCCTCCTCCCACCTCAGTGAGGGCTGAGGCAGAGAAGCGCGAAGTCCCTTGTGGCGGATGAGACCTGGCTAGCTTCCTCTTCATCTTTTCTTTCCACATCAATTGTCTTACTTCATGTTCCTTGACAAGTTTTCCTCTTACTCTTTTTATAGAACCTGTTTCTGTTGCTTATGCATTTTACACAGCCCTGTACAATTTCCCTGAAATGTATGAACACGGATTTATCAGGGGCAGTCTGATAAACGGGGGAAGAACTATGGAAACACCCCAAATGAAAGCTTGGAAAGATAAAGAAATTAAGAGTCAAGCAACAGGAAATCAACTATGTGAACAAAACCTAACGTTTAAAAATACAGGGCACTAAAAAGGATCCAGAAGGAAAGCATTATTTTTGAAAAATGTTAAATATTTTCAAACAGTTCTGAGGACACAGTAAAAATATTGCAGTGCTATGTAAAAATCATTAAGACTGCATTAGCTAGAACCAGAATAGAGAATTAAATCACAGCAGCAGACCACCCTGCGAACCACACAAGTACTGAGAGGCCATGAAATCACTCTGACAGGAGGGGCTGATAAGAAAAGAGGGAAGGACTTACACCCATGAAAAGGAGAAAGAGTGACATTTCAAATGGGGTGTCAACACAAGTACAAGGTGACCCCACCATACGGACTGGGTAGAGTCAACAGACAGAAACCACACCAGTTATTTGAAGAAAATGTAACAGAAAGGACTGTTACCTAGGTAACCAAAAAAGTTGAAAGCGGGTATGTCCCTGGCGGCCCAGTGGTTAAGACTTTGCCTTCCAATGCAGGGGGTGAAGGTTCGATTTCTGGTCGACCCCCCGGTCAGGGAGCTAGGATCCCACATGCCCAGGGGCCAAAAGACCAAAACGTAAAACAGAAGCAATACTGTAAGAAATTCAATAAAGACTTAAAAAAAAAAGTTAAAAGGGAGCACTGGATTATCATGAGACAGCAGGTGCAGGAAGCAAATGCTAGGCTTAGGATTGGGGAGCCAAAGGCAGAAGCTGGGATTTGTGAAACCTGGGCCAAGGGCCCCGCCCAGCTGAAACTCTGAGGCTCGGCTGCTGCTGCCGTTTACTGGGGTCTCTAAGCACAAAGGTGGGCCCTAAGGGCTGGGACCCAGGGAGCTGAGAGGGGCACTCGCCAGCTGATACTGGGGTCTCTGCAAGTGTGGGAAAATGCCCAAACCGGGACCAGCTTCCCACTACCCGAAGACACTTCCTGCCAGGAGGAGACTGGCTGCTAAGGTGCCACAGAGGAGGGAAGCTGGCAGGAAGCTGCAAGGCCCACCCCCCCC